TTTTTTTTTTTTTCTCGGGATCCCTGGTCCGTGCACGGCCGGCCCGCCCGGGAAAGCAGGGAGACCCGGGCGGCCTGGCTGGTAGCCTACCATTGCTTGGTTAACCCACAATTTCTTTGAAAGTTGGGACCCTTTGTTCATCCTCTGGGGGCCTCTGAACGCATTTGGTTTTTAACCGAGCGCTGGCGGGCCCGTACATCCCTGAAAGACCGTTGTGTATACAGGTGCACCTCTTGAGTATTGGTCGCTGCTTTGGACTTATTAAATCTGACGACTATCTGCTGAGCAACTTTCATATGCTAGAACTGAGAAACTTTCATATGCTAGAACTGATTGGCGCACGGAAGTTGGGACCCTTTGTTCATCCTCTGGGGGCCTCCGAACGCATTTGGTTTTAACTGAGCGCTGGCGGGCCCGTACATCCCTGAAAGGCCGTTGTGTATACAGGTGCACCTCTTGAGTATTGGTCGCTGCTTTGGACTTAGCAAATGTGACGACTATCTGGTGAGCAACTTTCATATGCTAGAACTGCTCTTTGTTGATTACGTTGTTTGATTGGTGGTGCAGGTGGCACAGCTGGCTTGCGAGTTTGAAAAGGGAAAACGCATGAAAGAGGGCCGCAGGATAGATTGGGCTGCTGCAAGCCCTTATCTTCCCGTATCTTCGGCTTCTGCAGCTGCGAAGTTCGGCAAGGCAGCCTTGTCCTCCAGTGCAGTGTCACCTCCAGACATGCCTGGTGGAGACAAATGGAGCACAAGGAGCTCCCTGGTATCGAGGAGCCCCCCCCCAGGTCCACAAAGGGTTTCAACAGGCCCATTCCCAGTGGATCGGAACACGGGACCCCATGGGACCTCAGCTGGTGGTGGAAAGGATGTAGGTAATGGAGCATGCGTATGGAGAGTTGTCAAGCCTAACGACAAACCTAATGACGGAACTCACAGTAGTCATGCAACTATGGCTACGATGGGTAATGGTAATAATTCATTGCCTGTTTCGAGAGCTGGAGAAGGGTCCTCCTCCGGCAGCGCAACCGTCCCCGGCGATTCAAGAACAATAAACCTCTGTGGAGATGTGTCGTCTCACAGGCCAACGTCAACGGACTGCAATGGCACTCTTAGAGGTTCAGAAGGACACAGATCACAAGTGGACAGTGAGCATGAGCGTAGAAGGCAGCCACTAAATGACAGAACTGTGAGATCTGAACCAAGCTCCTCCAGCTCAGCCAAGAGTAGTGAAGACTCTAAAAAGCTGGATTTGACAGAGTTGTTCCCTCATCTGTTCCCAAAGGTAACATTATTCTTTTTTCTATTTGGGGAGGGAGGGGGGGGGGGGGGGGGGGGTTGGTGCGGACTGCCATGGCGAGGATTGCAAGTGCATTTTTTTGGAATCAGCACATCTTATGTGTTCTGTATCTCTCCTAAAGCTGTGTTGTTGGAGGTTTGACGGATCAGTGTTTTCCCTCAGGTGCAGTAAGCGTTTCATTTCTGCCTTTCACGCCTGCACGCGGTATCTCCATTGACTCTCCTTGCGTTGTGCGTCGTCCCTCCGTCCTTTCTGCTGTCTCATTGGAGTCATTCTGGTGGGCTCCGGAGTCCATTGCTTTCGCTTTTCTTGCCTATATCCGAGACCTTGATATTTGTCTGACGCCTCCGTGCCATCTCTTGCGGAGTGTCGTGGCGAGGACGACAAGTGCATATTTTGGAATCAGCACATCCTATGTGTTCTGTATCTCTCCTAAAGCTGTGTTGTTTAAGGTTTGACGGAGCAGTGTTTTCCCTCAGGTGCAGTAAGCATTTCATTTCTGCCTTTCAAGCACACACACGGTATCTCCATTGACTCTCCTTGTGTTGTGGGTCGTCCCTCCCTCCTTTCCGCAGTCTCATTGGAACCATTCTGGTGGGCTCCGGAGTCCATTGCTTTCTCTTTTCTTTGCCTACAAGTTCTTACCTTTGCAGCGATCAAATGTTCCTCTCCCCTCTTCTGATGCCCAGCTGGGATTCGACTTATTCCTTATCAGCTTTCATCCTCTGATTCGTTTTTTTATCAATCTACTTGTGTGAATGATCTCTTCTGTTTAGTTCATTCTCTTTTGACTCCTTTATGGTTGTGTGACCATCTCATTACCAATCGTCCATCTGCCCTGTTCCCTGAGCCCCCAGACCCTCCCACACCTCCCTGCCCGCCAAGCTTTTCATACTTTTGAAACAAATAACAACGATGAAATTCAAACATAATAATTGTTGTTTTTTGGCTGCTAATAGAGTCAAGAGAGTAGTACGATTTTGCCCTGCACTCGTAGAAATCGCCATTTGGCCGAACTGGGCCACCCGCGGCCTACCGGCCGACGGCCCGGATTTCTGCGCTGTCTTACGACTTTAAGACGTTAAGACTAAGATCGCGCGGCGATCCAGACCGTCCACTTTGCCGGACGGCCTGGATCGACGTGCGATCTTAAAGTCTTAAGATCGTGTGGAAATCCGGGCCGTCAGCCCAGTAGGGCCGTGGGCGGCCCGGATCGGCGTGCCCGTTGAGAAGAGGGCCGTTGCGGGGCGGCACCATGGCCCTGTTCGCGTCGAACGGCCCGTTGGGTCGAGGGCTGTCCGACTTCTCGCAACGGCTGCCCTACGCGACAAACTACTACCGTACGGGACAAACTACTGCCCTACGTGACAAACTGCCCTACGCAACAGAATGCCCTACGCGAAAAACTGCCCTGAGCGACAGAATGCCCTACACGACAAACTGCCCTACGTACGTCGTTCTTGGTACTTTGTGCCCTACGGTCTTGCCTACGCGACCTACTGACATGCCCACCTAGGCGACCGACGCGAATTACATACAGCCTACACGATTCAGGCAACCTGCCTACGGCCTGCCTACCGTAACTCTCTCTCTCTCTCTCTCTCTCTCTCTCTCTCTCT